TTTCTTTCTTTCTTTCTTTCTTTCTTTCTTTCTTTCTTTCTTTCTTTCTTTCTTTCTTTCTTTCTTTCTTTCTTTCTTTCTTTCTTTTTGCAGAACCAGGGATTGAACTCAGGCCCTTGCACTTGCCAGGGAAGTGCTTAGTCCACTGAGCCATCTCCCCAGCCCCTCCTTTTTTTTTTTCTTCTCAAGATGATTATTAAGCCTACTGGGTGATGAAGACCTGCTTCTTGGGTCTCATGGTGTAATTGTTCCTAACCCCATTTCTCCCAAACTTAAGAGAGCTTCCCATTCTTACCTTAAAGGAACCTTTTTGAGTGTTTGGGTCCCCAGCACAGATCTGAGTAGCACTGTCATAGTAGTGAAAGTGTTTCTTACACTCCTCATCCTTTTGCACTGTCATCTCCACCTCGTGCAGTGTTTTTGGAAGTGTTCTGTTTGGAGTCAACCGTCCCCATCCAGCCACTTGGCACACAGTACCTGGCTTCACCCAGGATTCTCTCTTGGGCTTTAGAATCTGTACCTCTTTAGTCATCTTGGCCTTTTGCTCCAGCTGAGGGAAAGAAGCAAGTGTCCAGCTCAGTCTGTACCTTTTGGCTTTGGACACTGTTATGGACATGATGGCAAGGAGTGAAGCATGGTACCAGTGGGCAGGTGCAATACTATGTGAGGAGAGCTGGAACAGCAGGGAGGTGGGCCTTACCTGCAGCAGCATGATGTCATTGATGTGTTTTTCAGGATTGTACTGCGGGTGTGGGATGTTTCTTTTTACATGTATGACCTGCTGAGTCTTCTCCTTCTTGCTGATGTTGTGGGCTCCCAGAGTGACAGTTATTTGTCGACCTTGTGAATGCAAAGGTCTGTACAGAGGGAAGAGTAGGTTGAGGAATGTAAAGCCTGAGAAGACCCATCCCAAGAGCTATAACCTGGTGAGAGGTGGTACATGTCTGAGCTTCAGTTGACAGGAGGGCCACCTGCCTGAGTGACTATGCCCTCTGCTCCTTAGTAACACAGACTGAAATCTTTGACCCAGGGCATCAGCAGTTTTCAGGGCTCAGTTGCCTCTATGAAAACATGAGAAATTGCTTTACTGTCAATGTTTATACCAAAACAGGGTTCTGAGTCTTAATATATCATGTTTGACAAGGTCTTACTACAGCAGCAAGTCTTTGGGTGCCAACTTGAGTTCCTGTGGGGTATGCCTGGCCCATTCTCACCCTCAATTGAGGCTCTTACTTCAATTGTTCTCAGGAGATCAGCCAGCTCTTGGGAGCATGACTCTCTGAGAAGCATTTCCCCAACACTCTGGGCTATTTTTTCCTTCTTCACCTTTTCATACAGTGAGCAGCTGTCAACACAAACTTCTCATGTATCAGGAAGCCACCACACCTTTGTACTTTAGTAGTATTCTTTAGGCGAAGGAAGGCCATGTAGGGGCGGGTGTGGGGTTTCGTTTCGTGTCCCCCGACGATCTCCCCTGAGAAAAAAAGAGTATTTTGAACAGCCACTGTGTCCCTGCATGAGCATGTACTTGGTGGCTCTAGATCTTCTGGGTATTTGGCCACCTGGGAAACTCTGGAGCTGGGAGGAACCTGGAGGGAGGAGCCTCAGCTTTTTTAGCATAAGGAGGGAAATCACCTCTTGGTCTCAAAATTTTTTTTTCTCCATGCAGTCAGAAATGAGCACACCTATCTGGAGACAATAAGAACCCAGAGGCTTTTCACAATTTCTCGGTTGCCTTTTCATTTCCTTTGAGTACCTTAAACTCTTAGAGTGCTGTGATATCTAGGATGCTGATGCATCCTAATGGCAGGGCTTCAGGTGTGATCCAGATGTTGTCTGATCCTCTTTCTAGGCCCTGACACTTAGTGAGTGCCCCAGAACTGTTCACTGGCCATGAGGGAACAGCTCCAGGAAGTTTCTGGATGAAGGTTGGTAGGACAGTGTTGACAGGATTTTGGAAGACAGGAAAGTTAGAGTATGCCTATGTGACTCATGTGGAAAGCAGGAGAAAGTAAGAAATGGTAGGAATGCAGAATAGGATAAAGCAGAATTGGATACTATGACTGAGGAAAGGCAAACAAGCATCAGATGAGGACAACACCTACCTCCTCCCAGACACAGAAAACAGGTTTTTTTCTCTCTTCTCCTGGATAATTTCTTAATTTCTCCTGAAAATTCTCATGATTTTCATGCACTTTAAGGAAAGATCCACTTCCCAGAAAGAAATGTAGCACCTAGTGAGGGTATAGTGCCCTCTGGCTCTTGTAGAGAGCCGTGTGTGGTAGCCTTCCGAGTGTCATCCGTGGGCTTCTCTGGTGGGACTGGAGGTCAGGTTCATAGTGACCTTGTTAGACAGAAGGATCAGGGTTGTGCATAGGGAAAGCCATGTCCTCTGTAGAATGGTGTTGTGGCTCTAGGGGTGGAGATAGTAACTTACCTGCCCTTGTCCTGGGTGGCAGATAGAAGGCCAACAGGAGCAGGAGCAGCTGCATCGTCACAAGATATTTTCCCATGTGAGAGCTTCTGAAGCTTTGTTGTTTCTGCCTTTTATTGTCCAGCAGAAGATGGGGGAGCAGTTGGCTCAGTGACCTTATGTTTCCATCTGGCTTTTTGTTGCTTAATCACAGTGGCTTTCTAAAAAGGTGCCCTACTGCAATGCATTCCCTAATGATATCTACATGATTGTGCAAGAAACCTCCAGTGACCACAGCTTATGATTCAGAGTAGATCATCTGTTGCAGACCACAGGACAAACCCAAGAGTGTAAGTTGGAAACTGGAGTATATTGTGTTGTCTAGGAGATCCCCAGAACCCTAGATTCCCAGTGACAGGATTTATAACACCAGAAATCTAAGTCCATTGGGATAGGTTCTCATGCAGTTGAGCACTAGGCCCTTCACTTATCCTAGGAACAATCCTGTTGGAAAAAGAGCTGACCATCTGATGGAGGAGACAGAATCCCTGCAAATCAATTTCACCAAAGTGATGCTGAGAGATGTACTAAGCTACAACAAAGCATGGCCACCATATACTAAACCTACCTGATGACTCTTACATCTTCATCGCCTCCTTCCCAGGGTGTGCTAAGCACCTCCTATTGCATTATGAATAACTGTGACAGAATCCACCTTTCTTCTCAATATTTTTGAACATAGTTTCCCATGTGGCATTTATTGGTATAAATTAGCAAATTGCTATGGGCCCTAAGAGTTCAATCTGAGTTAACATAAGTTACTCCCACTACTTTGGGTAGGCTGTTTTTATCCCACTAGAACCAACTGAACTAGCGATGAAGGTGTGTTGGGTGTAAATCTGTGTGCTGAAGTCTTGTGTTAGGGTTTGCCTGTGCTCTTCTCCTTGTCTGTAGGAAGTGTATTTGTTTCTTGTTCAACTGAGCCCTTCTGTTATCATGATTGTATCTTGGAGCCTGGGACTGAATCCTCTGAATCCATGTTTCTTGATGGACTATTGTGTCTCTACATCCTCCTGGTGATTTTAGCTCCTTTTTTCTATCTACATTTTATCTCCTTTTCTGTTTTTTAAATTTTATTTTATTGGGGCAGGCCAAATAGCTCAGAGGATTAAATTACCCTCTTTGCGTCACGTTGAGAGGGAAATTGAGACTGGGTCTGGTGGTATGCGTGTAATCCCAGTACTTGGGAGGCTGTAAGCAAGAGAAGTACTATAAGTCTGATCTAGTAGTGACACCATGAACAGCCTGTGAACACTTCCCTAGAATACAGGATAAAAATTATCCTTTTGGTATTTGACATGATATGTACCTACTAAGAAAATCAGAGAGTAGAAAGAAAAAATAGCATTTGTCTACTTTCTCTGGACAATAAATAAGTTATTAGTACATGTTTGTATGACATAATGATTAGATTTATTATGGGAAGTTGGTGCATGACACATGTTATTTCATATTAGTCCTCTTCTCCCTGCTCTTTCCCATTCTTCTATTTCTTAGTTCTCTGCCTATATGAGAAAACTTTCTGTTTCCTCCAGTTAGCTTTTATTTTGCTGGTTTTTTTGATCAGGATATATTTCTTCAGGGTAAGAAAGCTCCTGTCCAAGAGAGGGACAGAAAGGGGGCCCTGAGTGGGTGGTTCCCGGTAAGCTATCTCTTCCAGGGACTTTTATAGAGGAAAACCATGCACTGAGGCAGGTTCAAGGTAGTGGAGACCATGGGAACTCATTTAGGTGGGCATAAGGTGGGACAAAGGTATGGTCAACCAGTGAGATTACAAGCATCATTTATCAGGTAAAATTGATTAAATCAGAAACAAATGGGGAACAGAATCAAGTGTCAAGCAGGCATGAATATGGAATTGGGTATCTTCCTGTTAGGGTTTGGGCCAGTGACTCATTTGGGTTCTTTCAAGGTGATTGATACCTATTTAGAATATCAATCCCTCATGCCCATCCCTAGGGAAATATATAACTGTATTTTCTTCCCCTTTTGTCTTGAGGTCTGGCCCATATGCGAGTGTCTGTCTCTTCCAATTTGCATAGTCACCTTGTCTTCCATATTGTCTCCTTGAGAGTCTAACCCTGTCTGACAGTTTATGATATTTCTACCTAATTCAGCTTCTTACAACATGCCCCCCTCTGAAGAAGTAACTCGAATTACCATGAGGGAATCATGGGCAATGACCGCTGTAGCTTCTTCAGGCTGAAAGTGGTCATAATTGTGAACCAGCAGTCAGAGATACTCTCCAGAGGTTCTACCTAAAGGTCTTCAATAGACATCAGACATTTTTATCTTGGATAGGTGGAATGGCTTTAAATTTTGAGGAGACAAAGCAGCAGAAATGATTAAACATGCATGGGCCAAATAATAACATTAACATAATTATAAATACAGTTAAAATGATTTTCACCAAGTAGATAGTAATGACTTCCATAAAAATGTTAAAGATAGGGTCCAGGGGACCTCAGCATCTCATATTGCTGAAAGCTGCTGAATTAGATAGAAATGTTGTAAACAGTGAGACAGAGCTAGGTCCGCAAAGAGACAGCATGGAAAAGATACACTGCAACTGTAAGAGGGACAGGTGCTCCTGTTGTGGGCCAGACCTAAAGACCAAAGATCAAACAAAAGCTTACCTCCCTAAAGATTAGCATCCAGGATTGATCATCACCCTGAGTAAGCCTGGAAGAATAATTAATCTGACTACTGCTGGCTAGTTACTAGGCAAAGTCCTGTTCTCTATTCATGCTCACTTGCTACATGACTTGCTTCCCCATTTGGTCCTGGGCAATGGTGCTTGTAATCTCATTGGTTGATCATAGTTTTGTCCCACCTCATGCTCACTGCAGTGAATTTACATGTTCTCCACTATAGATTCACATGGTTGTACTCTATAAAAGTCACTGGAATGACAACTTCTTGGGCACCACTTGCTTGGGGCCCCCCTCCTGTCCCTCTCTTGGGCAGGAGCTTTCTTTCCCCCCAAAAATACATTCTGATTATAACCTCCATTTGTTCCTAAAATTAATTCTTTGGTTTTAGAGAACACGAACTCATCCCTGGTACCTTTCAGGTCGGGAGATCATTCTTCCCCTATATCATTTGGAGGTCCCTATGTCAATATACCATTGCTTTGATCTTTTAAACAGTTATTGAGATATTAGCAGAAGGATCTGGAAGGTAAGGTTTAAAATTATAAGTAATAGTCAGACCATTTTGTAGGTCCATTAGCAGATATCTCTTAAGTGTGAGGTTTAAATCATTTTTATCTTCTATGGCCCTTGAGTATTGTCTCAAATAAACTGGCCAACTTATTACTGAGTGGACTTGAATTACAGGACCTGTGAATTACAGGAGCTCTGGAAAACATGAGTACTTTCCAGTTTGCAAGTGGGGTCACTGGTTGGGTAACTACTGACAAATCTGTATGAGCATCTATTAAAAGTTTAACAGGATTTCTCCTTATATTGGCAGTTAACATAGGTTCCCTCAGGCTGAGAGGGGAAGACCCATGACCACCTCAATCTGAAACTTTCTCTGATTCCATCATGAGCACTTTCCTTTTTCCTCTTTAACAGTTTTGGACATATTTTGCTTGAAATGTCCCTTCTCTCTATCTGGATCCAGGGCAGACAGAAAGAAGGGACATTTCTTCTTGAAGCATAACTTTTTTTCCCTACATTTTTGACTGGCCTTTTTCCCCTGTAGGTTGCTAGAATCACTATTCTGATGTTCTGTGTCAGATATCTGTGCTCAACTAAGCAAGATATAACTTTTTTTTAAGGACTCCTGCAGGCAGCCCTGCCAAAGGAATGTGAAGACAGATTTCTCTGTAGTTAGGCAGGAAACCCTGAGAAGGCTCAGCTCACCTGGGCTGAATGAGGTAGATACAGTTATTTAAGGTCTTTATATATGTCTCTTTAGACAAAAATCTGGTAGATGCCAGTAAAAGAAATATTGTACATTTATTATAGATTTTACCTGCATGATTACTTGGGCTTTGGTATCTTCTAAGAAAGAATAAGTTTTCTGAGAAATTGGAGCATGAATAATCAAAGCATGAGCATTTAAACTAACAGGTAAATTTATAAACCTTTTTGAGGCATAGCAATTGTAACCCACTGGCTCTTAGATTCCTTTATTCATGGAGTCTTGACAGTTTGCTATAAGTCTCTCTAGCTTTAGTTAAAATTATCTTTAAATTTTGAGAACTTATGAAAACCACATTAATACCTTATTTTTTATTGTCAGTGCTTTTAAGTAACCTAAGTACAGTTTGGCATATTTCTCTAGTTACACCTCCGAGAAAACAGTGACATCAGCAAATTATTTTTTACTTGTATGTTTTTGAACTCTAAACTTATTTGTAGTAAGAATAGGGAATATTTGCCTTTTAGTTGAAAAACACCCATAAATATCGACTGAAATCATAACCTTTTCTTTTAAAATGTCTAATAATTTCTACCAATTAGAAAACATACAATATATTGTATATATAGAGGGGAGAGAAAAAAAAACACAAAGAAAATATAGAGAATCCTGTTAGTCAAAAAGCTAGATCAACAGATATCCTGCCTGTCAGTTAGAATTAAAATATATACATCTACATCTATATCTATATCTATATCTATATCTATATCTATATCTATATCTATCTATCTATATCTGCATCTATATCTATATATCTTGTTTAGGGTTAGTGCTTTTTCAGGTTATATTTCCTCCATATGGTTACTTCTTTCACATGTAGGCCTGTTTTTATTACCCTGGTGTCAGCTAGAGTTTACCGTGGCAATACCTATGCTAAAAGTCTGGGTTTGGGCTATCTTCATGACTTCTTGTCAAGACTGCTCATTTAGACTCTGAAATGGGTCTATACTGATGGTCACTGAGCTCAGCTAATAAAAATCTTCAAATTAAAAAAAAAGAAAACATACAATACATTATGGGAAATTAGGCAATGTTACTTTTGAGAAATATAATCTGAAAGGTCACACCTGTATTTGCTATCAGCTTGAA